AATGAAGAGGAACTAATCCAGAACTAATGGGTAGTTAACCAGTACTTACTGGGGAACAAACAGCCAAGGCTTATTAGGGGACTACTGGTTTGTTATATTTTAAATGAAGAGGAACTAATCAAGAACTAATGGGTAGTTACCAAGGAAACCAAAGAGAAACTAATCAGGAATGAAGTTTTCATCGTTTCGAGCAGTGCACCCTGTTTTCTGTTTAACCTTCTTGGTTTATTGCTTCAAGTGTTTCCGTTTAAATTTTCTTTTCTTTTTTTGGGCAATTTAGTGTATTTGAAATGAACATACTGTCAAAAATAATTAAGACTTTTCTGTCATTGTTGTGGTCATGTGTTGGTTCCCCACCATTTAAAAAAATGCACAATTGTCTTACTTTACAGTTCTCGACCTTTAATCTTTCCCTCGAGTTAACTTTGACGGACAACTTGAAGCACAAATAAACCAGATTATGTAACTGTGATTTAACAGGCAGCTCTTCTGACTTCACCCAGGGTCGGTGACAAACATTTACATAAAAAAACAAGAAAAATCACATTTTTTATGTGGATGTGAATTTGTTTGTTTGACTTGTTTATTTGCATGGTACGGTAGTGTGCATGTGCATTTACAGAACGCTTTGCAGTGCATCCAGTAAATAAAACTGGAAGTAATAAATAATCTCACCAGGAGCTGGGAGGAGCTCCAGCTGTTGGACCTGCTGCTCCTGCGGTTGAGGCTCCGTTGCTGCAAAATAAAATAAAATGATTATTTTATCTTTAATAAAATGAGAAAAATGCTTTGAAGAGGACGTTTGTTTTAGCAAAGCGGAGCTTGTCTTTCTCTTATGATATTTATCCTCACAAGTTTCTTTTTAACTGAAACTATTTAAATGTTAATTTTTAAGGTTTTTTTACAGCTTAATATGTAAAAAAAAAAAGAAATGCTCACAGGAAGAATATATTCAGCAGTTTTCTCAGGCCCGTTTTTAGCTCAAAGAACATTAACAGAAACATCCCTTAACAAAAATTAGTACATTTGAAGTTTAATTTTGCAAGTATACTTTAAGTTAAGTATAAGTATATCAAGGATACTACACACCATACTTGTAGTGTACTAGAAGTATACTGATTTAATACTTGTTTGGACTAAATTGGGACATTTTATACTATTTTTAAGTATATCAAATAAAGTTTATAAAAAGTAAACTTCAAGTACACTTCCTCATTTTTTGTGTAAAATAAGTATCAAAGTCAAAGTCACTTTATTGTCAAAAACTGCAATATGTACAGGACATATACAGGATTGAAATTACATTCCTCTCAGACCCTGGTGCAACAAAACCATTTAACATTACAATATTTAATAAACATAAGCATAAAATTAAATAATAAAAGCATGATACTGTCTTAAATTCTACTATAGAGGTATAAATAAAAAAAAAGTATATCTATAAAAATAAAATGAAATGAAGGTCTTGACATTGATATTTGCAGTGAGTGGCAAAGCAGCATATGAAGTGAATGTACATAGTGTATGTATGAAGTCCTTGATATTGGTGTAGGTAAAGTAACATATGCAATAAGAATAGTAAAAAAAATAATATATATATATATATATATATATATATATATATATATATATATATATATATATATCAGCAGTAGTGTAACATAAGCAGCAGTGTGAATATAAACAGTAGTGTGAATGTAAACAGTAGTGTGAATGTAAACAGTAGTGTGAATGTAAACAGTAGTGTGAATATAAACAGTAGTGTGAATGTAAACAGTAGTGTGAATATAAACAGTAGTGTGAATGTAAACAGTAGTGTGAATATAAACAGTAGTGTGAATATAAACAGTAGTGTGAATGTAAACGGTAGTGTGAATGTAAACAGTAGTGTGAATATAAACAGTAGTGTGAATATAAACGGTAGTGTGAATGTAAACAGTAGTGTGAATATAAACAGTAGTGTGAATATAAACAGTAGTGTGAATGTAAACAGTAGTGTGAATATAAACAGTAGTGTGAATGTAAACAGTAGTGTGAATATAAACAGTAGTGTGAATATAAACAGTAGTGTGAATGTAAACGGTAGTGTGAATATAAACAGTAGTGTGAATGTAAACAGTAGTGTGAATATAAACGGTAGTGTGAATGTAAACAGTAGTGTGAATATAAACAGTAGTGTGAATGTAAACAGTAGTGTGAATATAAACAGTAGTGTGAATGTAAACAGTAGTGTGAATATAAACAGTAGTGTGAATGTAAACAGTAGTGTGAATGTAAACAGTAGTGTGAATGTAAACAGTAGTGTGAATATAAACAGTAGTGTGAATGTAAACGGTAGGGTGAATATAAACAGTAGTGTGAATATAAACAGTAGTGTGAATGTAAACAGTAGTGTGAATGTAAACAGTAGTGTGAATGTAAACAGTAGTGTGAATATGAACAGTGGTATACTTGTAGTATACTTGTAGTACACTTAAATAAACTACTTTTTGCTAAGGGATTTCTTGACAAAATTCATCAAAATGTCTTAAATGATAAAATATATTTAAACTGCTAACATTGTCATTTTAGGCATTACAGCGAACAGCTAAGCTAACCAAACGTTAATTTGCTAGCATGCTACGTTAGCCTTAGCATTAGCTTGTTAGGTTTGGTGTAGGCCTGATTCATACAGTTTGAGCATTATTGTTTAAAAAGTTAAGTTAGGCTTTTCTATTTTAAGTTTATACACAGTGATTGATTAGTAATTTCACATGCAAAGTATTATAACACCTATACAACACTGTTTTTTAAGTACTCTGACAATGTTAAGATATGATTGTATGATGTGGGTATTTAAAAAAAAAAATCGTAACAGATTCAGGTTTATGGAGCTCCTGAAGTGACATTGGTGATATTTGTTTTATTTTTATTTTTTAGATGTCTTTCATTCACAAAGTACATATGGTTATTTACGCACTACTTTTAACTGCTACCAAACTAAAACAACTTTTTCTTGTAGTTTCAAAGGAAAGAATTTGCCTTGACTTAAAAACAAAACAACTTTAACTACGTTTAAGGATTTCTTTTTCTTTTCTTCCTTTTTAGGCAACAAGTTTGTAGCACAGCTATATTTTATATTTTGAAAAAGTTTCCTGGAACACGATAAAACTTTTGGCAAATCAATCAAGAAGTGGCAGTTGGAGCAAAATGTCAAAACTGCATTAGTTTTCAGGTCTGGGTTTTATTACTTAAGTTACATATTTATTCATTTGAGGACATCAAGGATCCTATGGAGGTTGTCCAAAAACATTTTATGCTGTATTTTTCAATTTGTTCTCTAAAATTAGAAACAGTCCAGGCTGATCAGTCCTATTAAAGTACTTTAAAAAAAATTACTGTTGAGTTTTGGTCACTTAACCCTTCAGATGGCTCGACAATTTGAAAATAAATAATAAAGTATAAAATAATACTATTTATTTAACTGAACTAGTGGAATATTTGTTCAATTTAAGTTTTTTCTCCCCACTTTAGTTTGTGATTAAAACAACACAGCTGCTTTTCATATAAAAGATCTGATTGCTCCATATTTTCCTGACAGCACTTCACTCTCAGACTGTAGGTTTACTTGAGGTTCCTAGAGTTTCCAAAAGTAGAATGGGAGGCAGAGCTTTCATTATCAGGCTCCTCTATCGTGGAGCCAACTTTCAGTTTCTGTCTGCGAGGCTGACACCTTGATAAATCCTATAGTTAGTGTTGGACTGAGTTTCCTGAGCTATCCTTTAGTTCTGCTGCTATAGGTTTAGATTGCTGGAGGACAAAGTGAACAGATTTCCTTTATCTGCTGCTGTCTTTACTTGCCCTACTCTACCTGTTTGTGTTTGTAATTATTTCTATACTTAACATGCGTTTGTCTTGGTCTTTCTCCTATAGGAACTACACATGGACTATATAAATGTCACCTGGACCATATAAACTATACCTAAAGCATAGAAACCTCGCTTGGACGGTATAAACCTTGCCTGGATCATAGAAACCTCACCTGGACCATAGAAACTTCATTTGGCCTATAGAAACTTTATATGGACCATAGAAACTACAAAATCATACAACCTACACCTAAAACATATAAACCACATCTGGACCATAGAAACC